AAGCAAAAAAATTATTATGCAACAAAATATAAATAAATTAGAAATGCAAGAAAAAAAAATTATAATATGCAAGAAAAAAAATTGATACATTAAATTAAATAAAACGAGAATTATAAATATTTTACCTCATCGGTAAGATTTTGACCGCTTCTATGGTTCTCCCTAGCTTTTGCCAAGGCATCCCTCCATTTGCCTAACTCTTTATTCAAAATTTTCCACCTGGAGGCTAAGGCCATTTCCGTGCGCCCCGAACCGAATCTTTCAACAAATTCTTCATGAATTTTTTTCCACATTTGAGAAAACTTCATCTCATTGCCGGATATAGGGCAATGACTAACTTTCACCCAACACTCACACAACACAACATCTTCAACAGTACTCCAAGAGCCTCGGGCTTCGACAGAAGAGGCCATTTGTTTTTTTGATACAAATGGAAACTTGTAGAAAAATGTGAGTGGAATGGAAAAAATATTGCAAGGAGAAGAGTTGGTATGAAGATTTGGTGTGGAAGGTAAGTTAAATTGATAGGTATTTATAGGGAAAAAATACATAATTTTTTGGTATTTTTTTTAAAAAAATTTGAATTATTTTCGATTTTTTTTGCAATTTTTTTGGCGGAAAAAATGAGGATCGTCGGATTTCTGCAAAAAAAATGATCGGAGAGCTGGGGAATCGCCACGTGGCTTCTGCCCGTTGGGACCTGCAGGCGCTGACGTCAGCGAGCGGAAGTGAAATTTTTTTACTGTTGGCGCGTGAAATTCACGCGCCAACGGTAAAAAAAATTTGAATTGGTGAGGGCTGACGTCAGCGTGACGTCACGCATGACGTCAGCGCCTTCGGGCTTCAGCCCAGGCAAGATCTGCCCGTGGGCTTGCCCAGGTACGTAGGACCCACCACTTGCCCAGGCTTCATTTCTTCCGCTGGAGCTGCAATGGGCTAGCCCGAGGGGCCTTTTGCCCGGTTTTGGTGCATGGCTGGAGGAGCTCTAAAGAAACACGAAAGGCTACTAGCCAGCCACGTCGATGACAAGACCTCTGACAAACAGAAGATTCACCACCTCTTGGAATATCGCCCCTATCCTCTCCAATACCACGTATAAACCACCTAACCCACCCCCTAGCAAAACACGTGAAGGCTATCATGAGAAGAGGACGTGGAGCAACCCCAACCATCCATCGCCTAATAAAACGACCTGATGTGACATGAACGGCTCGGCTCGGAGCCGTGGTGACCGGGTTTAATAATGTCTTCGGGAACTTCCTATAGTCTAGAATTTGTAGTAAAGGGGTGTGGCTTTTTCTCCAAAAAAAAGTACTTGTGAGGAATTATCAAATACAAAAATGATTACTCCCGTTCTTATCACTATTCCAATATAAACAACAAACGATCAAGGAACCAAATCTTCCTTTTCTTTTCAAATAAAAGCACTTGTATTCTATACGTTTACCACAGAAAAGTCTGAGGTCTAAACAAATGATGTTTGCCAAAGTCCCATATCGGAGAAACACAAAATCATACAAATGCTTATAAGGACTAACATAACAATTTATATTGCCGAGCCTAGTAGCGTGGGCTTATAACTAAGCAGGGCATTAAAGTGATTGGTTGTTTGAGTTAGGCCTTGTCGAGTGAGGTGTGATGCTCTTGGGCTGTTCACTTCGGTGAAGTCGCACAAAGCATGCTCCCTGCCCACGGGTTAGTAGGGCCACCCAACCTCAATGTTTGGGTAGCAACCCATAATATTTAAGGACCTGATTGGGGGTGTTTAGGTGCCAAACCTGGAACCCCTACAGATCAAGAGTTATCACACCTCAGCGTGCTGCTTGGCGCTTGGCCTCTCATCACACAATCACTTTTTGTCCCTCTTGTTTGAGCCCACAAGTAGTACAAAATGTAAAATGGGCTTCGGAACCCTATACCCGTCAAAGCCCTAAGGACAAATCGGTAATAAAAAAAAGTTTTAAAATTAGGGTTTCAACTTTCAGGGAATATAGATAGAATAGATATAGCCTCCTCTCTCTCGATGATATCCAATTCCTCCACCTGCAGCTTCAGGTAGAGCGTCGCCAGCCTCAAGATCAAACAAGAAGAAGAAGCAAAATGGTACGTTTTCTTTTATTTTGTTGCATTTTCCTTTTCACTAGTTTCTTCGTACAGCCATTTCACTAGTCTCGGTTTAGGGCTAAGTTTCGAATAACCCAGAACAATCCGTTCCTTCTGTCTCTGTTTTATTTTCGGGTTCCTCTTTCTTCTCTGTCTCTCCATGGTTCTGATTCTTGTTTCTCAGTAAATTTGAGAAAAATTTTTGAATCCGACGACCCCTTGGAGTTGCCAACCAATTGCTCGATGAAAAGCTCCAAAGAGCTGCGTAGCAACCTTCCTCCTCCCCTCCTTTCCTCTCTCTCTATATCAATTTCTCTATTTCTTCTTTCTTTTTTTATTTTCTTTTTATTTTGGTGATTTATTGAATGGGAATTTGTTTGGGTAGAGATTGATCCAAAAAGAGATGGGGTTGTGGCTGTTGGTGATGCTCTGTTTTCTTGGTTGCTGCTGAAGTAGCAGAAGCATTTGGGTAGAAATACGAGCTTTGTTTTCTTGGTTTAGAGAGAGTGAGTGGAGTGGCAGAGTTCGGGGATTGGGAGGAGTTGTTCTGGGTCAGTGAGATGAGGGTCTGGCTATGGTGGGAAGGGTGGGTGGTGGCTGGGGGTGAGAAGGGGTTATTCCCGTTTTTTAATTATATTATTTTTATGTTTTTAATTATATTTTAACTGAAGTTTGGATGAAATGTGAACATACAAGCCTTGTTGGTTTTAAATTTGAGAATGTTTAAAGTCATAATGCTGTACTCTGTCTCTGTACCAACAGCCGAAGCAAATCCATGAGATTAAGGATTTCCTTCTAACTGCAAGAAGGAAGGATGCACGCTCTGTCAAAATCAAGAGGAGCAAAGATGCAGTCAAGTTTAAGGTTCGATGCTCCAAGTACCTTTACACACTTTGTGTGTTCGATACCGAGAAGGCCGACAAGTTGAAGCAATCCCTTCCTCCAGGTATAGCTTTTTGCGTTTTCATTTGTGTCATTTATTATCATTTGCAACTCTTGTATGGTGGTTTTGGCTACCGTCATCTTTCAATTTAGGTGCATGAAAGCATGTTCATCTATGTTTTCTATCACTGAGGGGACTTCCTTTGTAATTTTTTTCCTTTTGTAAAGCTCAATTTTATAACAAACTTGTTTGTTATGATTTTGTATGTGTAGGTTTGAGCGTGCAGGACCTGTGAAGACGGGATCCGGATCACTTCACGAACTCAAATGGGATTTGTTTTGTCTTAAAGTTTTGAAGAATTTATGGATTGATGTTAACGTTGTTGGTGTTAGATGTTATGCCCTGATGTTTGCCGTCGTTTATGTGTGGACTTGAGTTATATTTTAGTGGTTTTGTGTTCCTCCTCGAGATGATCTTTAGCCGTAGTGTTACAACTTCCTATTTTCGCAGCATTACTTGATCATATGTACAAGTACTTCATGCCTAATCTCTTGTTGAATATTACAAACAACTATTTGGTTGAACAGTCTTTCCATTGGCATTGGCACATGTTACTGAACCACTTGATTCCAGCAGTTCGAACTCACGTTTTCGAGTCTTATTACACTGCATGGATTTTTGCGCTACAATCAAATTTTATTGCGACTGCTGAAGCTGATGTTCCTTGAATGTTCCGGCACACGACATCAGAAACCTGTAATTGAAACAAGATGAAATGTGCACTAGACATTTAGTCAAAACATACGGTTATGAGAGTAGTAGATGCTCAATTTCTTCAGTGGAATAAACCTCAAGAAGACTAAGAAATTATTTTCGTTTGAAAGCTGTTGTTGTACTTTAGAAAAAAAACTGACACGGTTAAGAGAATGTTTTTCTTCTCTTCTTTAAATCTGAATTTCTGTGTTAATGCCATTGTCATGGGTGGTACCAATTAAGTCTATCTGAATTTCACTACTTTAAATCTGAATTTATATTTCTCTTCTTACTCATCGCAAAGAGCATGAATACATACTGGCTTCTCTATGCGGAGGCCTCTGCACAATTGTTTGGGGTAGCTGAAAACAATGACAACCCTTCCAATCCCAAACCCACAAACTCCTGCCTGGTCATGTACAACCATAGTACAAATGATTGATTGTGCACAGATTCCGCTTTTAGAAGGTTAAATTTACTAAACAAAGCCAAATTTACGAAGAAATACTCGAGGTAGAAGGATAATTTACTAGTTAGGATTTTGAAATCACTATTGGGGAAAAATCCCACATCGGAAAAACACTCAAGAATACAAAAGCTTATAAGGGCTTAAATGACACTTTGATATTGCCGAGCCTAGTAGCGTGAGCTTGTAACTAAGCAGGGCATTAAACTGGTTGGTTGCTTGAGCTAAACCTTGTCAGGTGAGGTATGGTGGTCTTGGACTGTTCACCTTGGTGAAGTCGAACAAAGCACGCCCCCTACCCTCGGGTTAGTAGGGTCCTCCAACCTAAATGGGTGGATAGCAAACCTCAATTTGTGGTATGATGATTGGGGTGTTAGGTACGAATACTAAACCCCACGGATCAAGAATCATCACTCCTCAGCGTGTTGCCTGGCTTGGGCTCTCATCACACAATCACTTTTTTGTGTCTTCATTATCCTTTCTCTTTGAAGGCTAACTTCACTATTCTAGAAAACAGTTTACTTTTGTATAAATAAATAAATAAATAATGATAAGAAACATTGTATAAATAAATAGAGGCAACCTTCCCGCATCACCATTGACAGCTATATTTTAGTAAAACAGTGGGCTCCATTAGTGCCACGTTTGCCTTTTTATTTTGTTTTACACATTTGACGTTGAGGGGATAAAGTGAGATGGAAAACATCAGCAAGGTGGGTCACTTTTACTTCTGGGGGCAATGTGAGATTTGACCATATAGTTTCGGAGGGCATTTATGTAAATAAGCCTTAAAAAGTTGTCCCTTAACAAAATGAAGATATCATCTTGTAATTTTTGGAGGTATGAGGGTTAATTTGAAAATATGTTAAACTTGAATAGACGAACTCGTTATCTTTGAAAAGGGGTCTCATCCCAAATGGAAAAACTCATTCAGTTATTCATTTCCCACCTTTATTCTTTCGCGCTCGCACACACATTAGTATAACCTTGCTCAAAATTAACTATGAAAAAAATGCAACGATAAACAATTTTAATTTAAATGAAGCGTGTGCCATTTGAGTTATTTTATTTATTATTACTAGTCTCTTCGCACGCACTTCCTTACCTGCGAGAGGCTTTTTTTAAAAAAAAAAATAATAATTTAGAATTAAAAAGATGATGGGTAATTGTGTTCCATAAAAATAGGATCCATTATCTGATTTTTCTTTTTCTTTAAATGTTTTCAAAATATAAAAAGTGTGAATTTACCATATTATCCTCATTTAATTAATAATTTCAATTTTTAATGTTTGCATTAACCAAGCATTTTCTGGTATTTTAAATGTTTCACTAATCTCTGCCTTTTGCTTTATATATTACTAGCCTCTCTACATGCGCTTCCTCGCTTGCGAGAGGCTTTTTTTATTATATTTTAAATTTAAATTTATTTTAGAATTAAAAAAGATAATGAGTAGTTGTGTTCTATAAAAATAGGATTCATTATCTGAATTTTCTTTTAATTTTAATTTTTTTAAATATGAAAAGGTATGAATTTACCATATTATCCTCATTTAATTAATAATTTTAATTCTTAATGTTTGGATTAACCAAGGGCATTTTCTGGTTGTTCACCCGTTTTGATTTGTTTCCTGTGATGGTAGGGTAAAGTTCCCCATTAATCCAAAGACCATGGTTGGTCAATAAATTAACTTTCTTTATGTGTTGAGCGTGCCACCGTTAACAATTTTTCAATTCTAACAGACTTGTGAGTAAAAAATAACTTGCGCCCCAAGCTATTGACTTTGAACAAATGATTGTGAATTTGGGTGAGGAATATCTCTCAATTACGTTCTTTTCTATGCCTTAGACTGGTAAGGACTTCACAATTTTTCTCAGTATAAAACTGGTGGTTCTGGCCAGAATAAATGATAACAGAGTAGACCGCTTTCAAGTAGAACTCCCCTTTACAAAGCTCAAAAAGGGAAAACTGGCTATATAAAGACAAAAAGAAGGCTGTGCTTTCATTTCTGCCTGGTTGGACGCCTCTATTCTGGGCTGGACTGGATAGGCCTGTGCTGGACTGGACTTTTAACAACTTCAACTGCTAGGCTTCAGCTGCAAATCGATACCAAAGCTTGAGTTTGGCAGAGCTTTAATCTATTTCAAACCCTGGAAGGCTTTTGGATGGGCAGAATTGGGACTTCTCCAGTCTGAGAGGGACAGAAGTGGCTGGACTTAAGCTGGGACTGTACTGTGGTACCTGTGCTGCTTAGTCGGGGCTCTCCATAAATTTGTTGAGGTTTTCGTATTTGAGAAAACTCAAACTCTACTTGCCTTGGCTTTGCTGAACCAAATTTGTAACGAGAGAAATCTCGTTTTTGTTGGTTTGTGAACTGGGATTCGAATCAGAAACAGTTTTTTAGCTATCTTTGCTGGGAAAAAACAGGATGATTCTGCAAGCTTGCTGTAAAGCTTTTGAAATTGAAGTGTTTCAGACTCTGAGTCTATTTGAATTTGTTTGAAGATTTTCTGGGATCAAATGATCATTTTGAGTGTTTGTCTTTTGACTGAGTTTTTGGTTGTGTTGGTTGATTGTGTTTTGCTATGTTCACCATCTCTTGTATATATAAGAAATGTTCTTGAGAGCGGGAGTTTTGATTCTTTTAATATTGGTCGGCAAATAATCTCAAAAGATCTTTTAGTTTTAAAAGGAAAAGAAAAGGAGTTCTATCCATTTTCTAGCAAGCAAGCACTCAATCAATCAGCTCATGTAGTGACTGTTTCTCTGTATTTTTTATGGAGTGCCACACTCTTCTTCCATTTCAACTACTTTTGCAAGAGTCTGAAGCTCGTGATGGTAAGTTCTCAGTTTTGAACAACTCCCTGTTTCCCGCTTATCTCCTTTTCATAGAAGCAGAGCCTGCTTATCTCTTGAAGGTGGCGCCTTCTTTGGAGCAGAGAAAATATCTATGAATAAATAAAACGGGGTTTTGATCTCTTTGGCAGCAGAGTTCTTCCATAGACGTCCTACTTTATACCTGCCTCTGTTCAATCTCTAATTTCAGCCGAATTTGTTGACTTTTCTTAAGTCAGGTATCACGTGGGTCTGGAAAAATCTGCCAAGCCTATTTTGGTTTGAGTCCCATTTTGGCTTCCTTCGAGGCCCAAGTTTCTTCCTGATTTCGACTATTTCTAGGCCCCCAATGTTTGGACCGAGTACATCGCTTTGGCCTGTTTATTTGTTTAATGGGCTGGGCGCGTTGATGGGCTGAGGGCGCCAATTTTAGGTCCAAACAAGCGGCCCAAAAATGATGTTGGTTTTTATCTCTGGACTGAGCGCACCAAATTTAGGCCCAAACAATGCCCCCATTAAGTCTGAACCGTTTTTAAACGGTTTCCAGAGTTAATGTTTTTTTCGGCTATTTAATTTGTGCGCGCCAGTTTAAAACATCCCCTATCTGCCATGTCCACCTACCACGAACTAGACTTCGTGGGAAATTGGTCAGTTACTAGCTAGTTACTAGCTTGTCATTATCAGCTATCAGGTGGCGTCTTGTCTTCCTCTTCCCACGATTTCGAGCTTTTAAAAGAAATTTGAAACCTCCAGCTCCTGTTCATCTCAAAACCTAGCTTCCTCAGACTTTGGTTTTCTAAATTTTCGCCAGAATCCTTCCCCCTTTTCTTTTAATCCTTCCTTTGTTTCTAGTCCGAAAAACCCAGAAAAATGTCTTCCCCAAAAACTCGTGCCCAAAGTGCTTCCTCCTCAGTTCCTCCAGATTACATCACTGGGTCTGGAATCGATGCTCATGCCATGGAGGTTCGAAGCATGTCTCATCCTTTGATTGGCAAAAAACTGGATGAGAACGTTCTTCATCTTTTTGGGGAAACTCTGGTCCTGGGGCCTCGCTGGTTTGGTACTGTTCCATCTGAGTTGGCAGAGCTAATGAAAAGGGATGCCGTAGCTCCCTTGTGTTTTGAAAGCAATTCTGCCCTTGCTTCTTATTCTTGGGTTAGCAAGAACCTGAGCCGCTCATTCCCATCCAGTGAGGTGAGGAATAGTTCTGTGAAGTGGGCGGACTGGATTGACAAGCTTCTCCCTAAGTATGGAGCTTATTGGAGGAGGGCAGGGATTTATGATGCAATCTTGCTGTCCAAACAGTCCATCAACCGGGATGAGAATCTGCTTGCTGCTGCTCTGTGCTTCTGGAATTCTGCCAGCAACACTTTTGACTTCCGTGTGGGCCCAATGACGCCAACCCTGCTGGATATGGCTCAGATTTTTGGGTTCAGACCCCATGGAAGATCTGTTGATGCCGTTGGTGATTACCATCGAAGGAAGAATCAAGAGA